AGATAGAAGAGCTGGAAAAAAGAGTGGAGGACTTGGAACAGTTTGCAAGAAAAGAGGACGTGGTGAAATCTGGACTCAAAACGACACACCGCACATATGCAAGGACAGCAGCAGAAGACAAAAGGGAAGATGCACCACCAGATGAACTACTTTCTCTTGAGCAGCAAGTCATCAAGTTCTTCAGCAGCAAAGGGATTTTGCTGGACAGTAAAACTATTGCTGCTTGTTATACAATGCCGCAAAAACCAAATACAAATCCGGATAAAAGGAAAAAAAGACAAAATATCATTCTTTGATTAGTGAGTACAAAACATAAAACTGAACTGCTAAAAGTTGTAAAAAATTTAAAGGGGACAGATGTGTTTGTGAATGAACACCTCACAAAGAAGAATGCAGAGATTGCTTACCAAGCCAGGATATTGAAGGAGAAAAAAATACAGGCCACAAGGACAACTGATGAAGACACTGATAAAACTTAATGGTTCTCCTGAGCAAGCTACGGTTCTAACCATCAGAAATCTTGTTGAGCTGGAGAAATATAGACGACTTGGTGCTTCTAGGGTTGAGGTTCTTTCTATTTTTATTTATTTATTTTGTTAGCATTTCTGTTTTTTGTAGTTTTGAACATACTGATGGAAGTGAAGAATATATCATGTGGTCTTTAGTCAAAGAATGCAATTTAAGTGTTTTGATCTTACAGATCATAAATTTTATGATATTGAAACTGATATAGACCCAGAGACCAATTTCAGTTATAATACTAAACAGCACTGTGAATATTATTCTGAAGACAGTATTAATGTGGGGTCAGAGGGCTTTTCATTAATTCACTTTAATAGTAGGAGTATGCACAGCAATTTTTCTCAGATAAAAAAACTACCTTCAAAAATCTGATGAGAAATTTAGTGTGGTAGCAATCTGAGAAACTTAGATTACTGAGAAATGATCTGCTGGATGGTTTAGATCAGAGGTCTCATTCTCGCGGCCCGCAGGACGATGTCTGGTGGCCCCACCCCGATATGAAAGTATAATATTAGGGGCCCACAGGGTGAGCGGGCCTCTGAAGTTAGTCCCGCCCGCCGTTCCTTGTGATGGCTGACATTCGGTGCTAGGCTAAGCTACACTGACTTCATGCACACTACGCTTGTAACAACAGAGTGGCGGATGATGGACCCGTCCGGTACCAGTTTCCCTTCCCTGCAGTCGCCATTCCGGTTCTTTCTACCATTAATGTCATGATCAAACGCAGAGAAAGGAGACTGCTACCGGGCTGCGTCATCCACCGCGCTGTTTGACAAGTAGAAGCGGTGATGACGTCACGCGTCGAGACGTTCTCCATACGTTGCTAGCTGGTTAAAGACTTCTATGAAACGTAGAACAAGAGCGACGCCAAGTGGAATAAACTTACGGTGTGTTCACACTGCAGCCTGAAGTGACCCAATTCCGATTTTTTTTTTTTTTTTTGACGTAATGCGACCTGTGTCTGATTTTTTCATGACGGTCTGAACAGCACAGGGCGGATTCTTTAAGAATGTGACCCATATCCGGTACGTACCCGGTTCAAATGCGCCTAACCTCCAGGCCGCATCCATCCGAACTGAACGTCACTGATACTCAACAAATTCTGCGTCCTGACACGGGCAAGTGGGAAGAAAAACAACTTTGACGGACTATAATGAGGATTAAGTTGTTAATATGCAAATATGTAAGCTAAGCTCCACCGTTAGCCTCCATGTTTACTTCCGCAAACACTGAGCACTTCTTCTTTTCATGGCGGTTGGCAGAACACTGAGAACGCTGACGCTATGGCGCCCTCTACTGGCGCATGCGGGACACTTTCAGGTCGTTTGCCCGTTCAGACTGCAGAACGCATACAGGTCGCATATGTGTGGCTGTGTGAACGGCCCGGCAAAAGAAATCCGATTTGACAAAAAATCAGAATTGGGTCACTTCAGGCTGCAGTGTGAACCCACCCTAACTTTTGTCACACCCTCATCATGTCTTTGTCAAAGCCAAAGCCTGCAGTTCATGTATTGGATAAATAATTAAATGTTGATGACATTTGAGGATATTTTTAAGATGTTTTTTGTGGAATCCTTTATGCGGCCCAGCCTCACCCAGACTCTGCCTCCAGCGGCCCCCGGGGACATTGAGTTTCAGACCCCTGATTAGATGGATATCAAATGTTTAGTCAGAATAGTTTAAGCAAAAGGGGAGGTGGTGTTGAACTGTTAGGTCTGGATTAAGATGTACGGTTATTGCTAACATGACATTTTCAGTTGATAACTTGATGGAATGTTTATCTGTTAAAATTAATTTATAGATCTGGTCATATGTTAATTAGTTGTGTTTATCAAACTCTTGGCTCATCCATAGATGAGTTTAGTAAGAAAATATTAGAGACATGAAAGCCACAATGAAAAGTTTACTTTTATTTGTGGAAATTTTAACATTGATTTGTTGAAATATAAGTTCAATGTGAAAACAAAACGTGGATTGTTGGTCACTGATATAACTGATCATTTCCAGTGTTTACTATGTTGGATATTAGTAATCAGTTTAATTTAAATATGACAAAGCAAATTACAAATTAGTTGGAATAAAATCACCTGAAGCTGTGGAAGAAATGAAAGTAAAATTATTGAATTATTGGCAAAATGTTTATGTTGATGATGTTAATAAGTCATATAATATGTTTTTGGAAATATTTGAAAGAATTTATAATTATTATTGTCCCCTTAAAGAATATAAACAAACATCCAAATATAGATTGACTCCCTGGATGACAGAGTTTGGAGAAAATATGTAAAAAGAAAAACGAGTTAAATAAGGATTTCATTAAGTGCGCAACTCAGGAAAAAGACGAAAAATATAAAATATATAAAAATAAGTTAACAACAGTGCTGAGGAAGCAAAAACAGATGTAAAACTTTGAACTTATCTGGTAAGGCACCTGTAACAAAGGAATCGGTGACTATGAATCTTTACAATTAAATAGCACATCAGAACTAGGTTCAACTCAGGAGGAGCGAGGGAAACAATGTGTTGAACAAAACACATTTATTACACATTTTGACAATAATGAAACAGAAC